GTTTTTAAAATAATGCAACAAAATTAATGTAACGTTTGTTGAAAGGCTGATTTACAAATGAAATAAATTGAGATATCTATTTTTTTACTATCCGTAAAATGATTCTAGAATGCTTCAATAGTATTCAATAGAATACTTCACGTAACAAACTATTAAGTATTATACTTATTTTGGTCTCGAAATATAAAATACAGTAACTGCACAGAAAGACATTCATTTGTTTCTTTTATTGTTCACTGATGGCTAGTCTTGTTTGTATAACTTACTAAAAGTGATTTCATAAAGTTGGCAATGAACAAATGTAAAATGTTAATTGGACAAGTGAGAACCCAATACATCCTTAAAACATACAAACATTCTCACGATTTTAACGTTGATTTTAAAATCAAAGACATAAACAAAGCATTATTCTTATTATGTCTTTGCAGAACATTATTTTTCTTTCTCAGTTTTCACTTTCATTTCCTCTTTCGAACATTATTCCTCAGCAGCCAAGAATATTGCTCATGCTCGGTTGACTTCAGGATCCAGAAGCAGTCTTCATTTTTCTACACTTTCTCTTCATTCTTCCCCGAATTTTCCGACATTCTGTCCACATCGCTATCTCCTTTTATTTTCTTCCCGCCTTTCTCTCATCTAATCTGTTCCGTCCTTAGACAGCACGGCCATAAATTTAATCATTTGCCTTCCTGGCGCCAGGATTCCTGCCTTAGCACGTAAGTTTACAATGGCCACGAGCCCTTGAAAATCCAGGCACAAACTTTCTCCCAGCTTGGAAAAGTGTCATTGGGACTTTTCCGTTGCATAAGGTCCGTCTGACCATTTTTACTTCAGGATCGAGGAGGGCGGTGTTAGCTACACCTTGAGTAAGGACGGCCAATGGTGGCGTCCAATCAAATTTTATATTTTAGTCCAAGAGAAGCCAGCTCTACACACAGGGAACGAGCAAAAAAGTCTCAATTTTGGAGCTCTCGGTAGAAAGTCAGAGCAAAATTCGATATTGGTGACGTTCCTAAGTTCTTCAAATTGTCAACGAATTTGTCAAATTTATAGAAAAATCTTACGTACACTTCTGAAGACGAACGTTTAACCCTCATCCGTTCCTCAGTTTCGCATCTTAATAGGTCCCTCGGTGAGACAATGGTAAAAAATCAGTTAAATGAAAAGACAAATCATTAATTTTGTAAATTCTTTTATTAAATATAGAAAATAAGCAAAAATTGTTTTCTACAAATAGCCGAATAATACAATTTTTTTTACCGGAAAAATGTGTGAAATTGGCACGAGGGACGTTTGATATATTCGAAAACGCACTGTCACAGAATTGCTTATAAAACTGCTCGCGCGTATACAATTTCGATCCATTTGATTCGCGGGGTTTCTCTTCGCGAGGCTTTAGATACGTATAATATATTGTATAACATCGCCTCGTTCTTATCGCTCGCTTAATCCAATACACTGGCTAGCTTGTATTCCGTATCTTTCGTGGATCTTTGGAACCTTCGCAGGATATGGGGAACAGATGGGTAAGTATCAGAAGGCTCAGAATCCACCCTATTTTCTCCCCTTCATCGCTAAGCTTTCTACGCGAACAAGAGCTCTCGAGAATAGACGAAACGCGCTAAAAGTCTGTAGAACGCTGTATTGTAATCCCGGATACTTATTAACATGTATAAGAAACGGCTAGGATCCGTTTAAAGTTTAAGGAAATGTAAGTGCAACGGAAATGTTTACAAGGGATGAAACGACTGGTCTCACATTGTGAGTCAATATAGTATTCGTAAAGGGAATGTGTAATTTTTTTCTGTGTAGAAAACATGGAAGGTTGTGCAGATTATAGATAGCAAAGGTAATTTATTTCTTATTTTTTTTATATAAATTGGTCGCCACGGTGTTTTAATTAGTTCTGATACTTTAACAAAAAAATGATTCGAACAGAAGTTCATTAAGCGCAGAGTTTATTCGTGCAAAATAAATCATTGAAAGTATCTTTTTCCATAAGAAAATTGACGTCAGCTTGTGTTTTGTAAACAGTATTATATATTTTTCTTCTCATATTCGGAAACTGTACGGAAAAATTAATTCAGCGAATACCGTTTCATATTTAAATACCGTCTTTAAACCGGCCAGCTCGTTCGCCGGACATAAAACCTTTAGATTTCTATCTCCGAGAGTATTTGCAGTCAATTGTTTACGGGATACCTGTTGATAGTATCGATAATCTTGAAGAATGTATAATGCAGGCATGCAGAACTGTTCAGAGTCACGCTTTAATTGAAGCTGCACGTCGGAATTTATTGGAAAGAGTAGAACTTTGTGTTGCGGAAAGTGGAATGTATTTTGGAAATTTACATGTACGTCCTAAATAACATTTAATTTTCACTTATTGGTATTACCTTGTGCGTGTTTTTATTAACATTTAACTGGAGAATTGTACTTCTCGAATAAATCAAATTATTTTAGAATTAGATAATTAAAATAGTACATTTTTTTGCTGAATTAGATTTTTCCTGGAATTTCCGAAAATGAAGAGAAAAGTATGTAACGCTATTTAGAACACACAAGTTGTCTTTAACTTTTTATGGAAAATAAACTGCTTCACATTCAATAAGTGTCTCAATTCTCATGAACGGGAGTTTATATTTGTCAATTAATGTTGTGTATTTGTTTCATTACTCAATTATTAAATACTATTTCATGAAAAATTAACTTCACAACGGAAAATCTAGTAATGACAAAGAGATTCTTACTGATAACTATTTCGACGATACAGAGACCTTGTACTGTATTAAATACTAAGGTAAATTAATTGAAATCGTTGAAGAAAGGGTGATAAAATTTTTCGAGCGAGTGTATAGCTATAGAGTATAAAACAGAGTCTATAAACTAATTCTAAGTAACAAATTCGAAAATTTGTTTCATTTCTAGCATATTTTTAATAAAAATGATAACTCAGAAAGTGATCATATCTACTTTGAAAATTACACTAATAAAATTTTGTAATAATGTTTTCGAAGGTTAATGAAAAATTCATTTAAATGTTGATTAAGACTTTCAGAAAGTATCGATGCTAAGAGAAATATTAATTGGTAAACTATAATTTCCTTTCGCAATTACCTTTGCCTCAAAAAATATTTATCTGAAAAGTAGCATAAAAATAGCGTAAAATTTAATTTGCTACACTATAATTTACTGCAAAAGTGCATTTACTTGCAGCTTTATATAAAAATCGTTAAAGGACTTTCAAAGTGATTTCTAACGAAAGAATGATCCAAAAGTTCAGATCTTTGACGAAAAAAATGACAATGGTATATAGTAATCTGAAAATGGAAGAATGACGAAGAAGTTATTACGTTGTGAATTAAATACTGCCGCAGTATATTTCCTTCCGGTAAAAATATGAAGTGATTTGAAAAATGATGAGGTCCTTTATAAGCCAAGAGTTATTGTACTTTAAATTATAACGCAGGCAAGCCTGGTACTGATATATCAGTTTAAATTGCAAGCTATTCATTACAAGCCCGTAAATTTATCATGTGGTACAGTAAAATATAGATTATACACAAAATTTGATATTTCACCAATAGCATTTGTGTAACAAAATCTAGAACACTTTCAACGAATTGCCTGTTC